TGGGGCCTTCGGTGGAGCTCCCTATGGGGCCACGAAACGTGTGAGGGGTGTGCCGAAATCTGCGCGGCGGGCGCATGGGAGCGCAGCCACTGGGGCCTTCGGTGGAGCTCCCCATGGGGCCACGAAACGTATGAGGGGTGTGCCAAAATGGGTGCGGTGGGCGCATGGGAGCGCAACCACTGGGGCCTTCGCTGGAGCTCCCTATGGGGCCACGAAACGTGTGAGGGGTGTGCAGAAGTGGGTGCGGTGGGCGCATGGGAGCGCAGCCACTGGGGCCTCCGCTGGAGCTCCCCATGGGACCACGAAACGTGTGATGGGTGTGCCGAAATGGGTGCGGTGGGCGCATGGGAGCGCAGCCACTGGGGCCTTCGCTGGAGCTCCCTATGGGGCCACGAAACGTGTGAGTGTGCAGTGTGCAGAAATGGGTGCGGTGGGCGCATGGGAGCGCAGCCACTGGGGCCCTCGCTGGAGCTCCCAATGGGGCCACGAAACGTGTGAGAGGTGTGCCGAAATCTGTGCGGTGGGCGCATGGGAGCGCAGCCACTGGGGCCTTCGCTGGAGCTTTCTATGGGGCCACGAAACGTATGAGGGGTGTGCAGAAATGGGCGCGGTGGGCGCATGGGAGCGCAGCCACTGGGGCCTTCGCTGGAGCTCCCCATGGGGCCACGAAGCGTGTGAGGGGTGTGCCGAAATGGGTGCGGTGGGCGCATGGGAGCGCAGCCACGGGGGCCTTCGGTGGAACTCCCTACGGGGATACCGAAACGGTTGCACACGTTTCGTGGCCCCATGATGATGACGATGATGATGGTGATAATGACGATGATGATGATGATGATGATGATGATGGTGATGATGATGATGATGATGGCAGGAGGGAGGGGGCAGCGGGAGGAGTGAACGCGGGGCGCTCTCTTCAAAACGAGGACCCAACACCACAGGATGGTTGGGAAAAATACATTTAGGAGGCTTCTGGTCCACGGCGGGTTGGGCCGGAGGCCACTAGACCTGCTTGGCACGGGAACGGACAGCGCACTTACTTTCAGAGCGCACGGGATCGCTGGCTCGTCCGCTCTTACACCTCTTATTGACTCCCTTCCCCTCGCTCTTGTCCTACCTCAGCCTCGGAGAGTCGCGGAGCCTTCTTTGAGCGCGTTTCGTGTTTTGGAGGGGGCGGTCGGGTCGCGTTGCGTTTTCCGCGTTTGGGCTGCCAGCTTTCCAGAACCCCGCGTTGTCCTTGCGTGGACCGCTCGTTGTCAACGCGTTGCCGCCCGTCCCTGTGCCCTGGCTGCAAGAACTTATTACGCCGCAGCTCTCTGTTGGGAGCTTTGGTCTTATCAGCTCGATTACGTCACCGCTCGCTCTTGGGAGCCGCGGTGCTAAGAGCCGTTGGGAGTATTATGGGCCTCTTGGGGGGCTCTTGGGGAGCCTCTTGGGTGCCTCTTGGGGACCTTTGGGGCTTCTCGGGGGCCTCTTGGGGCCTCCTGGGAGCTTCTGGGTGGCGGGGGTGAAGGGACTAGGCTGCCTTTGGCCGTCTTTGGGCTCTCTTGGGGGCCTCTTGGGGCCTTCTTGGGGCCGTCCTGGGGCCGTCTTGGGCCGTCTTGGCGCCTCTTGGGCCGTCTTGGCACCCTCTTGGGCCGTTTTTGGGCCCTCTTGGGGGCCTCTTGGGCCTTCTTGGGGCGCTCTTAGGGGCCTCTTGGACAATCTTGGGCGCCTCTTGGCCCGTCTTGGAGCCCTCTTGGGCTATTTTGGGGGCCTCTTGGGAACATCTTGGGCCGTCTTGGGGCGGTTTTTGGTGCCTCTTGGACCGTCTTCAACGCCATGAAAGGCGAAAAGCCGTATATGCTAGAAATGTACGTTTTCCTTCAGAAAATCAATGATTTTGGCCTCGTGGGGCCCTCTTGGGACGCCTCGTGGGCGCCTCCTGGGGCGTCGTGGAGGCCTCTTGGGACGTCTTGGGGCCGCCTTGGGCGGTCTTGGGCTCTCTTGGAGCGCTCTTGGGCCGTCTTGGGCGCTTCTTGGGCCGTCTTGGGCCGTCTTGGGCGCCGTCTTGGCCGCTTCTTGGGCTGTCTTAGGCGCCTAAGACGGCCCAAGAAGCGCCCAAGAAGCGTTCTCCGATGATGTCTCCAGCGAAACGCTGTTTTTATAAGCCCCGAAGGCCGTCCTACTCGATAAAAAACGAGGCGGGAGGGGGCTTCTGGTCCACGGCGGGTTGGGCCAGAGGCTACTAAATCAGCCGCCCACTTTGGCTTGCCAGAGGGGTGGGATAATGGTGAATGTTCTAGACCTGCTTGGCCCTTCCTCAATGCTCCCCATGGCCTCCAGCCCAACTAGCAGGCCACCTGGAAAGAACCGGACGAACCATCAAGGACTTTCCTCCGCCTCCCCGACGCGCAAGATAGCTTCCAAGATGGCCACCAAAACAGCCCAACACGGTCCAAGTTGGTCTCCAAGACGGCCTCACTCGCTCACAAGCGGCAAAGATTGCCCCCATGCCAGACACAACGACTCCAAGACGGCCCAATATGGCCTCAGACAACATCAAGGCGGCCCAAGAGGCCGCACTCTATAAGTGATCCGAGAAGCCCTCCAAGAAGGCTCTAGAATAGCAAGATCATTGATACCCCTTCCGTTTTGAAGGATTTCAGCACTCTCGACAATCCCAAGATTACCAAAAGCTCCCAAGAGGGCCCATCAGGCACCCAAGAGGTACCAAAAACGGCTCAAATAAGCCCCCAAGATGGTATCCGAGGGCCCCTGGAGAGCCCCAAGACGCTCCCAGAGGCCCCAAGAGGAACCATAAGGCCGTCAAGAAGACCTCAGAGGCCCCTAAGAGGCCTCCAGCCAGGCTTCAAAACGCTCCTACTCCTCCTCCTCCTCCTCCTCTTCCTCCTTCTCCTCCTCCTCAACCTCCTCCTCCTCAACCTCCTCCTCCTCCTCCTCTCGACCCCTTCCCCGGGGACAATGTTCTAGTTGGAGCTCCTCCCATGGGACCACGAAACGTGTGAGAATACAACAAGAGGCACCGACGCCGTGCGGATCCTGGCACATGGGTCTGAGCTGGAGCTCCCTATGGAGCTGCGAAGCGTGTGAAGTGTGTGCGTGTGCCGACATGAGGCACGGACGCCATGCGGAAGCCCTGGCATTATGGCCTTAGCTGGACCTCCCCCATGTGGTCGTTCGGAGGGCAGATGGACAAAGATGGGTAGGAGAGGAGGAGAGGAGGAGCAGAAAGGAGGAGGAGGAACGAGACGCGGGGCGCTGTCTCATGAACATGAAAACACAACACCACAGGATCGCTGGGACAGACACGTCGCCGGAGATCTGGCTACCCAGCCTCGCCCGGCGGGCCTGGATCGCGCCCGACCGGCATCGGGGGTTCATTACTAAAGGTGCCCAGTACCCCTGGCCAATGGTGCCCCCAGCTGTTCGCTCCGTCTTGGAGCCCCATGGGGCCCTCTGCAAGGGCTCCCAACTTCGCGCTTCGCGCTCCGCGAAGCGCGAAGCGCGAATAACTTCGCGCTCTCGCGCCGCCCCCCAAGGAGGAGAAGAGGAGGACGAGGAGGAGGGGGAGGAGGAAGGAGGACGGCGAAGCGCGAAGCGCGAATAACTTCGCGCCCTCGGGGGAGCCCTTGTGGAGCCCCATGGGGCCCTCTGGCCCTCGTGAGGGGTGCCCCGGAGACCGCGGGGGGCCTCCCGGGAGATCCTGGGGGCACCTTGGGCCAGGGGCACGTCCAGCAACACACCCGACGGCAGCGGCACAGCACGCGGCGCCGACACGGGGTCCTGCTCGAGCTGGGCAAGAGCCGCGGTCGGACTTCGTCCCCACTCTTTCCGCGCACATGTCGTTCGACGGAGAGGGGAATAAGGGGGGGGGCAGGAGGGAGGCGGAGGCGGAGGCGGAGGAGGAGGACAAGGAGGAGAACGAGGGGAGCTGTAGGACGAGGAGGAGTAGGAGGAGAAGGAGGATAATGATGATGATGAGGAGGAGAAGAACTAATTAGGAGGAAGATGATGAATCCTCCCCCTCATCCTGCGCCTCCTCTCTCCACTCCATCTTCCTGGAAAAGGAAGAGGAAGAGGAGGAGGAGGAGGAGGAGGAGGAGGAGGAGGAGGAGGAGGAGGAGGAGGAGGAGGAGGAGGGGGGACAACTGAAGCCCTCCCACTCCGGGAGGAGAGGGAGCTCCATTCGCTTCTCGAGCCCTCCGAAGCCGCTTGCGGAAACTGGGGAGCACAACTCCCGGTACGGCCTGAGGCGCTCAAGACGCTCCTTCAGCCCCTCGTGTCGACTCGCTGGAGGAGGAGGCGGAGGAGGAGGAGGAGGCGGAGGAGGCGGAGGAGGAGACGGAGGCGGAGGCGGAGGCGGAGGAGGAGGAGGAGGAGGAGGAAGAGGAGGAGGAGGAAGAGGAGGAGACGATCCGCGGAGGGAGGGCGGAGGGGGGGGGCCTGCGGGCGGGAGGAAAGGCGCGGCCTGGATCTCGCCCGACCGGTAGCGGCACAGCACGCGGAACGTCCAGGAGCCCGGCTCGCACAGCTCGTCCGCGTAGGAGTACTCGTGGCCTCTCGGCCATCGGGCCGACGCCGCGGGGGGGGCCCCGCTCCGCCCGCGCACCTCCGCGGGGCCCTCGCGCCTCGCGGCCCCCGCCGGTGCGCGACGACGACGACGACGACGACGACGATCGACGATCGACGACGACGACGACGACGACGACGACGACGCGGGGCCTCGCGGGCCTCTGGCCGAGGACCCTACGACGTCGTCGTCGTCGTCGTCGTCGTCGTCGTCGTCGTCGTCGTCGTGCGCGCCGAGGTTGGGAGGCAACTTCTGGGAGGTCTGCGCGGCGAATGATCCCAAATCAGAAGCCACAGCGGACATCCGTAAAACTGAAGGTCGGCCCGGCTTAGGGCCACGAGGTCCGAGAAAGGGCCAGCAAGCCCGATCGAGCGGTCTTAAGACTACACCGACCAACACACTGCACATCACGACAGCACATCACGGGGAACCGGGCCCCCAGCCCCAGGGTGAAGTCGGGCCTGTCCCCCTACAGGGGGATTTTCGACGGAAAATAAAAATTACCCTAAACATAATCAAACAAATCGTCCCAAAATAGTCTGGGGACTACTTTTTGAGTGGGTGTGGGGTTTTTGGGGCATTTTTGGTGTTTTTTGTTTTTCGTCGAAAATCCCCCCCTTGCCAGTCCTGGGGAGGGGGCCGACCCTGTTCGGGGCGCCTCGAGGCCGTGCCCGCCGCTGGGGGGGCCGCGAAGCGCCCCCCCCCCCACAGCTGGCGAGCAGGCAGCCGCCCCGGCGGCCCAAGACGGCCCCGAGCCCCCCCGAAGACGGCCTCCTGGGGTCTCGGACGGCCCAGGAAGCTTCCCAAGCGGACCAAGAGGCCCCCAAGACGGCCCAAGAAGGCTCGAAGAGGACCCAGACGAGTGCCCCAAGATGCCAAACTTGTTTATGTTCCTTTGGTGCCTGAAAGATGTTGACGTTCTCTTACCGCTTCGGGCTTCCAACGCTCCCAGGCGGCTCAGGAGGCGCCCAAGACCACCCCGAAACGGCCCAAGAGGGGCCCGAGGGAGGCCCAAAGCGGCGTCAGAGAGCTCTCGGGAGCCCAAAGACGACTCGAGAGGGCCCCAGGACTGCCCAATAGCCCCCCCCCTCCGACGGCCCACGAGGGGCCCCAGAGCGGCCCAAGAGGGCCCACCGGCGGGGGAGCACGAACCCACAATTCCAGCCTTCCGCCACCCCCCCAGATCCCCAGGAGGCTCAAAGAGGCTCCGACGAGGCGCCTCGAGGTTCCCAAGATGCCCCCCAACAGGGCCCCCAGGAGGCCCCCAAGAGGCCGAAAGAGGCCCCAAGACAGCCGCCCTCGACGAGGTTCCCGAGAGGCTCCATCCCCCCCTCACCCCCTTCGAGGAGCCCCAAGTCGCCTCGTGAGGCCCTTCTTAGGCTAGGGCTCCCAACTTCGCGCTTCGCGCTGCGCGAAGCGCGAAGCGCGAATAACTTCGCGCTCTCGCGCCGCCCTCCCAGAAGGAGAATAGGAGGACGAGGAGGAGGGGGAGAAGGAACGAGGACCGCGAAGCGCGAAGCGCGAATAACTTCGCGCCCTCGAGGGAGCCCTTGCTTAGGGCGCTCCTGGACGTCTGGGGGCCGCGTTCGCCCCCTCGCGGTCCTCTCGTGGAGCTCTTCGCGCCATCGAGAGGCCGACGAAGCCTCTCTGAAGCGAGGCGGGCAGGAAGGCACAGATTCACTAGGGCTCCCAACTTCGCGCTTCGCGCTGCGCGAAGCGCGAAGCGCGAATAACTTCGCGCTCTCGCGCCGCCCCCCCAGAAGGAGAAAAGGAGGACGAGGAGGAGGGGGAGGAGGAACGAGGACCGCGAAGCGCGAAGCGCGAATAACTTCGCGCCCTCGAGGGAGCCCTTGGATTCAGGACCGTCCTTCGGTCTTTTGCACGGGCTGGTGCCGCTTGGAGGCCTCCGTCGGAGGCCCCGTGCCCATCTTCGAGGGCTCTCGGGCCCCCCTGGAGGCATGTCAGAACACGCATTCGGCCAAAATTGGCTCTGGTCCTGCGACGTCAGAGGCCATATTGGGCCATGTAGGCGCCTCTTGGTGTCACCATCAACTTGCCGTCGCTCGGACGTCCATTTCCCCTGCATGCTTCGGTTTCGTGCGTGCTTTTTGTTGCTCGATGGTCCAGGATGGTCCTCGATAGTTCTCGCCGAGAGAAAATGCAAACGTCCGAGCGATGCCGAGTCAACCAAGGAGGCCCCTCCAACGCCTCGCGATCGGGGCCCTGCAGGCCTGGGGGCGCCGCTCGGCCCTCTCTAGGCCCATCTTGCGGGGAGATTCTGACCCGGGTCGATCTAGACCAGGGCCAGTCAGGCCTGGACGAATCCTGCAAGATCCTGCACCCAAAAAGGGTTCATGCGAAAGATCCTGCAAGATACTGCAGGATCCTGCACCCAAACACGGGTCAATGCGACCCCCCTGCCCCTGCAGGATCCTGCAAGAACGGGCGCTCTGGCTGATCCCCGTTTGTATTGACCCCCGTGTCAAGGCTCCCGAATATTGAAGCCATCTTGAAGCCGAAGAAGCACGCCGAAAGCGAATCGGCGAGAAGGCCAGCATCTAGTGTTTCCCTAAGGTGGGTGCCTCCTGGAGATCCCTTGGGGGCCTTTGGGGCCCGTGCTTCGGAGCTTTCGAGCCTCTCCTGGGGCCATCTTGGAGGCCATCGGGAAAATTATGGTGGATGAGACGGGGATCCAGGCAGGAGGGGCATCGACGATGAAGGCCAAGAGTTCCACCGAAGGCGCATGTGGATGATGATGATGATGCTGATGCTGATGCTGATGCTGATGATGATGATGATGATGATGATGATGATGAAGATGACGAGGATGAGGATGACGAGGATGAGGATGACGAGGTGGAGGTGGAGGAAGAGGAGGCGGAGAAGGCGGAGCAAGAAAGAGAAGGAAAGTGACAAGAAGGGGGGGGGGGAGGAAAAGGAGCAGTAGGGATCAGAGCCAGAGCAGGAGAGGATATCCATGTTCGGTTGGTGCAGAACAGCATGCGCCAGTGTACGGTGTGTGGCTAGAACTGGAGCGCGCGCGACGATCCCGATGCACTACGACTCGGCTCAAGCGACGTGCACTGCAAGGCCAGACTCGGGCACCCCAATTCTCCTTCGATCTCTTCCAGTCGCTTACGACGCGTCGCAAAGCCCCCAAAGACCCCCTTACACGACTTCTGGGTTACCAGATCGAATGACGACAGGTCCCACGACCAACCTTCAGAGAACTCGCGAGTCAACCTTGCAGCACGAAGCGGCAATTTGCGATCATAGATCCTCGAGCGCGACTAGAACCTAAGCGCGCGCAGAGCGCGCGCGTGGTTCTCGCACACATTGTATTGTGGGTCCGCGCGGAGCTGCGAACAATATGGTGATGCAATTGTCATGCCCTTCTTCGACCATTAATATACGACAACTTTGGACGCTTGAACATGGTCACCAACACCAACACATGAAGTTGCCTCAACCTGGAGAGGATGATCCTAGATTATGGTGCTGGTGATATGTTTCGGCTGCGAGAGAAGTCCGAACGAGTAGTACCACCATCACCGAGATCGGGATCGTCTTCCTTCGGTGTAGGGACACCGCTGATGGTGGTGATGGTGCCAACCTCTAGGACCCGGACAGCGTCCGAAAGCGGCGGAGGCTGGAGACGGAGGCAAGAAGTTGCTGTTGGCCGAAAGGCTTCGCGCGTACACACACTCCGTGACCCCTTGCCTGACAACTTTGTCTGAAACGCACGTGCGCAAAAATAGGCACACTCGGGACAACACTGCGCATGGACAGAGAATCTAAAAAGGAAAGTCGGCCTCCCATCCGAGAATTCCCTCCGGATGGGAGGGAGGAGGAGGGAGGCCGGGAGGATGGAGGGAGGCGGTATCGGGGACGCACTGACCAGGGTCAGTGCAAACATGATCAGTCAGGCCTCGCAAGATACTGGATCCTGAACCCAACCCAAATCAATGCGCTCCTGGCCCTGATTGGGCGTTGCTTAACGGGGGGCGATACTGGGGGGTGGAGAAATGTGCACTTCTCGGTTCCGGAAGGCCACCTTTTGGGTCCTGAAGGTCCCGTCAGGCGCCCCGGAGGGCTCTTTTTTTTCTGCAGCCCTCTCTGCGCCCCCATTTATGGCCCCCTCATTACCCGACGCCCAACCTGCAGGATCTTGCAAGATCCGTCGCCCTGGCTGACCCCCGTCCCTTGGGTCCGGACGGGCCCGACTTAACCCTGGCTGATCCCCGTCCCTTGGGCCCCGACGGACAGGCCGAAGGCGCGGCCGAGAGGGGTCGGCGACTCCGAAGGGTGCGGTTTGCAAAAGGTGTGGCTTACGACCGGCACCCTGGGGGGCATCCTGGGGGGCGGGCGGGGACCTCGATCGAGTTCTCCGCCGCGCCCCAGGGCGGTCCGACGAGGACAGTGTCGTTGCCCCCCAGGCCCCAGCAGCGCCAATAGCAAACCACACCTGGACGGTTTACCCCGGGGCCGTAGGCGACCCGAGGAGGGGAGGGCGAGGAGGAGGAGGAGGAGAAGGAGGAGGAGGAGAACGAGGAGGAGGAGGAGAAGGAGGAGAAAGAGGAGGAGAAGGAGGAGGAGGAAGAGGAGATCGGAAACAACACCCTGGCGCAGCCATACCTTTTGTGGTCGCCGAGAGGAGGCGCCGCGAGGGGGGCGGGGGGGGGTCCTGGGCCGCAGGCGGGCGTGGGCGACGACGACGACGACGAGGGCGAGAGCGGCGCCGACCCGCCGACGCCGACGCCGCCGCCGCCGCCGCTCTTAACGACGACAACGACGACGACGACGGCGCCGATGATGACGATGATGATGAGGATGATGAGGATGATGGTGATGACGATGACGATGATGATGATGAGGATGAGGATGATGATGATGATGATGAGGATGAGGATGAGGATGATGATGATGATGATGATGACGGTACTGCTGATGCTGATGCTGATGGTGAGGATGATGATGATGATGATGATGATGATGATGACGACTACGACGACAACAACGACGCGACAGCACAGACGACGACGATGAGGAGGAGGAGGGTGATGGTGATGGTGATGGTGATGGTGATGGTGATGACGATGATGGTGATGATGATGATGATGATGACGATGATGGTGGTGATGATGATGGTGATGGTGATGGATGATGATGACTACGACGACAAAAGCGACGCGACAGCACCGACGACGACGAGGAGGGGGATGATGGTGATGGTGATGGTGATGGTGATGACGATGACGATGACGTTGATGATGATGATGATTGGATGGTGATGGTGATGGTGATGGTGATGGTGATGGTGATGGTGATGATGATGCTGATGCTGATGATGATGATGATGATGATGATGGTGATGATGATCATGACTACGACGACAAGAACGACGCGACAGCACCGACGACGACGACGGGGAGGGTGATGGTGATGGTGATGGTGATGGTGATGACGATGACGATGATGATGATGGTGATGCTGATGATGACTACGACGACAACAACGACGCGACAGCACCGACGACGACGATGAGGAGGGTGATGGTGATGGTGATGGTGATGGTGATGGTGATGACGATGATGGTGATGATGAAGATGGTGATGATGGTGATGATGATGATGGTGATGATGATGACTACGACGACAAGAACGACGCGACATCACCGACGACGACGATGAGGAGGGTGATGGTGATGGTGATGGTGAAGACGATGACGATGATGATGATGATAATGGTGATGATGATGATGATGGTGATGGTGATGGTGATGGTGATGATGATGATGGTGATGATGATGCTGATGATGATGATGATGATGATGATGACTACGACGACAACAACGACGCGACAGCACCGACGACGACGACGACATCGCCGACGGCGACGACGACGACTTCGACGACGACGGTGACAACGACGTTGACGCGACAGCGTCAGAGACGACGACGACGCCGACGACGACAACGACGATGCCGACGACGTCGACGTCGACGGCGACGACGACGATACAGCGCCGACGACGAAGTCAACGACGACTACGACAGCGCCAAAGACGACGACAAAGACGGCAGCGCCGACGACGACGACGAAAGCGGCGGCGACGACGACAGCCCAAACGACGACGACAATGACGACAGCGCCGACGACGACAACGACGACGACGACAGCGCCAACGACGAAAACGACGACGACAGCGCCAACGACGACGACGACGACGACGACGTTGACAGCGCCGACGACGATGACGACGACGACACAGCGCAGACGACGACGACAAGGACGGCGCCGACGCCTACGACGACTGCGACGACGACGACGATGACGACAACGACGACGACTACGACAGCGCCGAAGACGACGACGACGACAGCGCCGACGACGACGACTACGACGACAACGCCGACAACTACGACGACTACGGCTACGACGACGACGCCGACAGCGCCGACGACGACGACGACGATGACGGTACAGCGCCGACGACGACTACGACGACGACGCCGACGCCTACGACGATTACGACTACTACGACGACGACGCCGACGCCGACGACGACGACGACGCCGGTGACAACGCCGACGACGACGACGACGACAGCGACAACGACGACGAGGAAGACGACGACGACAGCGCCGACGACGACGACAGCGACGACGTCGACGACACAGCGCCGACGACGACGACTACGACGACGACGACTACGACGACGACTACGACGACGACAACGACGACGACGAAGACAGCGCCGACGACGACGACGATGACGACGACACAGCGCCGACGACAACGACTACGACGACGGCGCCGACGCCTACGACGACGAATACGATGACGACGACGCGGGTGACGATGACGACGACGACAGCGCCGCCGACGACGACAACGACGACGACGACACAGAGCCGACGACGACGACTACGACGACGACGACGCCGACGACTACGACGACGACGCCGGCGACGACGACGCCGGCGACGACGACGACGACGCCGGCGACAAGGACGCCAGCGACGAAAACTACGGCGCCGACGACGATCGACGGCGAGGGCGACGGCGACGCGAGACCAGCGCCACCCCGCCGACGCCGCCGCCGCCGTCGACCCCGACGACGCCACTGTCGCCGATGAAAACGAAGGCGACAGCGCCGACGATCATGATGCTGCTGCTGATGATGATGACGATGATGATGAGGAGGAGGATGGTGATGATGATGATGCTGACGATGAGGAAGACGATGATTCTGCTGGTGATGATGATGAGGAGGGCGACGACGATGATAACGACGACGCGACAGCAATATCGACCACAACGACAAATACGACGACGACCCCCACATCAACAGCGCCGACTACGACGACAACGACGACGACGACGACAACGACGACGCGACAGCGCCGACGACGTCGACGACTACAACGACAACGGCACACACGACGATGACGAGGACGACGACGACCGCGCCGACGAAGACGACGATGACGCGACAGGGCCAACGACGACGACAGCGATGACGACGACGAATTGACAGCGCCGACGACGATGACGACCGCGATGACGACAGCCCCGACGCCGACGACGACGACAGCACCGACGACGTCGACGACGACGAGAAAGACGACGACGACGATGTCGACGACGATGACGAGGACTACGACAGCGCCGACGACGACGATTAAGCGTCAGCGTCGAGGACGGCGACGACTACGGCGCCGACGGCATTGCCGACGACGCCAACGACGCCGCCGACGACGCCGACTACGACGACAACGACGGAACAGCGCCGACGACGACATCGTCGACGACGACGACTACGCGACAGTGCCGAGGGGGTCGACGACGACGACGACGAGGACGATATCGACGATGATGACGTCGACGACGACGATGAGGCCGACGAGAGCGACGACGAGGAGCGGGCGCACCCCCGTACGGCTTGGCAAGCAGGAAGGACTGGTCGCCCCTCTCGTAGGTGGCGATCTCGCGAAAGTTCGTGTCCTCCGCGGGAGGCGGAGAGGGAGGAGGGAAGAGGAGGAAGGATGCGGGAGGGGAGCAGGGGGAGTGAGGAGGGGCGAGGAGGGGGAGGAGGAGGAAGGAGGAGGGGGAGGGAGGAGGGGCGAGGAGGAAGGAGGGGAAAGAAGGAGGAGGAGGAAGGAGGCGCACATCGCCGCAGACCCAAAGCCAGAACAGGCATGATCAGGATGAAGGGGGGGAGGAGGAAGGATGGTCGTGAGCGAACGGTCCCAAGTCAGTTATGATGCCCGAGCTGTGCCCGAATGGTTCCCGCATTGGATGCATGACAATTTAAATGATTATGTGGTATTGCTTTGTGTTTTCGCGCCGGCGCTTCAGTCTGCGGGGGCAGCATTGCGCGCGGCCCTTAATCGCGGCCCTTACTCGCGCTTCTTCCCTTCCTCCTCCCCCATCCGATGGGAGAAGAGGAAGGGAAGAAGCGCGCAGCGCCGCGGACCTTAGACGAGGACCAAGTAAACAGGAGGGCTGGGAAAAGCACGACCTGGGAGAGGTGGGGGGAGGGGGAGGAAGGAGGCAGGACGGCGGGCAGCGCCTCGCCGAAGCTCCAACGCCCGCAGGGTGCCGCCAAGAGGAGCAAGGCGGGGGAGGAAGGAAGGATAGAGGGGAGGGGACTCGCCATCGCTCGGACGTCCATTTTTTGTGTTTTTTTTGTATTCGTGCGTGGTTTTTTCGCCAAATGGTCAAGGATGTTCCTCGATGGCCCTCGCCGAGAAAAAAATGCACACGTCCGAGCGATGCCAGGGGGGAGGGGAGGGGAGGGGAGGGGGCTGGAGGGGAGGAGAGGGGAGGGGAGGGGAGAGAGGGAGGGCAGGGGTGGAAGGGGAGGGGCAAGGAGGAGCCAAGGCGGGGGAGCGAGGAGGATGTGGAGCGGAGGGGGAGGGCGGAGGAGCGACGCGCGCAGCGCCACGGCCTCGCAGCCAGGGCCTTAAGGGGCCGCCGGCGCCCGCGGAGCGCCCGCGGAGCGGCGCCCCGCCTCGGCCTGCGGGGGGGCGCGACCCCGCGAGGCGGCGCGCGTCGGCAGCCAGCGCTGCCAGGGCGCGGCGCGCACACGCGCGCCCGCGCGGCACGACCTCTCGTCAGTTGAAGCGCCCCAGTCGGACAGGCCTGCTTTCCACCACCACCACCACCACCACCACCACCACCACCATCATACGTTGGAGGGGGAGGGGGTCCTCCTCCTCCTCCTCCTCCTCCTCCTCCTCCTCCTCCTCCTCCTCCTCTCCTCCTTCTCCTCCTTCTCCTCCTCCTCCTCTTCTCCTCCTCCTCATTCTCCTCCTCCTCCTTCTCCTCCTCCTCCTCGTCCTCCACCTCCTTCCCCCCTCCAGCTTACGGTGGTGGTGGTGGTGGAAAACAGGTCCATCACAATCAGGGGATAGTGAGATCGATCACGAGATCGATGGTGAGCTCAGTCGTGGGATCCAAAGATCGGACCAGAACCAACAACTGGAACCTGGGAGACCCCACAACCGGGAATCAGGTAACCCAGCCGGCTACCCAAATCGGCCCTGGATTTTCGCCAAATCTTTCAATATCCGCTAGGACCCCTTCAGTGCAAGCACTGATTGGGGTGTAGGTGGCGGAAACATCGACATGGAATCGGTGATGCATCAACGATGGATCGGCGATAGGCCCCCGATCGTGAAAACGAACGTTCCTGGGCAGGCTGGGGCTATCTGGCCGCTATCGGCGATCAATGGGCGACTTGGGGTCGATGCATCCCCCCCTATGCCTGTCCCCCCCCCCCATCGTTGCCGCTTTGGATCGACACTGGATGCCCCGCCCTGGCGCGCGGCAAGGGGTCCCGCCGATCTGAGACATCCGCGCGCAGCTCTGGTGAACCATGCTTGTACGCTATTGTGTTTTTCGACTGCCTCGAGAGAGCGCCGCGCTGCCCGGGCCTTCGCCCTCTTCTTCTCAATGATGTAGCCGACCTCACCGCGGGGGTCCCGAGGGCGCTTCTTGCCAGCCCCTCGTGCCGTTCACCCCTGCCCCCCTCCAATCGCTCCCGCTTGGGTCCTGGCTCATTCCCCTTCGCTCCCTCTCCCTCGTTCCCTCTGCCGCTACCTCTCCCTCACCCTCTTTCTCGTTCTCTCTCACTTTCTCTTGATTTCTTTATCTGTTGTTGCTTGGTTTGTCTTTCTTTCTCTCTCTCTCTCTCTCTCTCTCTCCGCGTGAACGTCTGCAGTCAGCGCGTCTGCGGAGGGGCGAAAAACAACATCTTCCGATTGGCAGAAGGGCGCAGAAGCCGAGAGGACGGGAAGTCCCTTCATCATGAATAATCGTACTCGGGTCGCCCCCCATTCTCCTCCTCCTCCCCACACCTCGTCTTCGCCTCGTCCCCTCCTTCACTTGTTCCTCCATACTCTCCTCCTGCTTGAACTGGATCCGAGGTTGCAACCCTTCGAGTTGGCGGTGCGACCACATGCGGACGCGGCTGACATGCCAACATGTGGAACGGACGCCGGGAGGAGGGGAGGAGAGGCGCGGTGAAAGAGCTTCAGGAAGGCCTGTGCGCACCGGCGTGGCCACAGACGGGAATCCTCAGACATCCGACGTGGGTGAGCCTTCACGGGAGCCTCTGCGGACCTCCGCGGTCCTATCATAAACTTGAGGTCGACTAGATGTTGTCCAAATATCGGCCGAACTTCGTACGGAGTTCGGGCATTCGGTGGAGCTCCCAATGGAGCCTCGAAGCGCTGGACTGGGTGGGGGGACGCATGCGAACTTTGTCACCAGGGCCTCCGGTGGAGCTCCCTACGGGCCACAAAGCGTTGTACTGGTTGGGGGAGACATATGTGGACCTTGCCACTGGAGCCTTCGGTTGAGCTCCCTATGGGCCACGAAACGCTGTATTGGATGGGTGAGAAGCATGCGGGCCCTCCCACTGGGGCCTTCGGCGGAGCTCCCTGTGGGCCACGAGACGCTGTCCTGGGTGGTGGGGGACGCATGTGGACCCTGCCACTGGGCCCTTCGGTGGAGCTGCCTATGGGCTACGAAACGTTGTTCTGGGTGGGGGAGGCGCATGCGCATTTTGCCACTGGTGCCTTCGGTGGAGACCCCTATGGGGAAGCGCTGTGCTGGGTGGTGGAGTTGCACGTGGACCCTGCCACTCGGGCCCTCGGCGGAGCTTTCTGTGGGGCAACGCGAAACGCTGTACTGCGTGGTGAGGGGACGCACGTGGACCCTGTCACTCGGGCTTTCGGTGGAGCTCCCTGTGGGGCAGCGAAACGCTGTACTGCGTGGTGGGGGGCGCATGCGGATCCTGCCAGTGGGGTTTTTGATGGAGCTCCCTGGTCTGCCACGAAACGTGCGAGGGGCGTGCCAGAATGATGATGGTGATGTAGAAGGAGTGGGACGAGGAGGAGAAGAAAAAGGCGAAGGAGGACGAGGAGGACGAGGAGGGATGGATGGAGGGAAGGAGTGAAGAACGCGGGGCGATGCCTTTTTTAAAAACGAGGGCCCAGTACCACAGGATGTTTGGGCATTGTATAAGCGAAGGGCCCCATCATATGCAATTGTACGTACAGCGTTGTGAATACCGCGTTCGGTGGAGCCCACTATGAGGCCACGAAGCGCGTGAGGGGTGTGCCTTAATGGGTGGAGGGGGACGCGTGCGGCCGCGGCGATTCGGGACGCCACGAAACGCTCTACTGGATCCACTGGGGCCTTCGGTGGAGCTCCCCGTGGGGCCACGAAACTTTGTATTCGGTTGCGGGGGGGGCGCATGCGGCCGCGGCCACTGGGGCCTTCGGTGGAGCCCCCCTTTGGGGTCGCGAAGCGCTGTATTGGGTGGCGCGAACGCATGCGGTCGCGGCCACGAATGCGGCCACGAAGAGCTGGGTAGGGGGGTAGGGACGCATGCGAACGCGGCCACTGGGGGGTTCGGTGGAAATCCCCATGGGGCCTCGAAGCGCTGTGGTGGGTGGGTGGGTGGGGGGGACGCATGCGAACTTTGCCACTGAGGGCATCCGGTGGAGCTCCCTATAAGGCAACGAAGCGGTACACTGGATAGGGGAGCGTGCGAACCTTGCAACTGGGGCCTTCGGTGGAGCTTCCGTGGGGCCACGAATCGCTGCACTGGGTGAGGGCTGGGGGGGCGCATGCGAACTTTGCCCCTGGAGCCTTCGTTGGAACACGTTACGAAGCCACGAAGCGCTGTACTGGATGGGGTGAGCGCGTGCGAACTTTCCCATTGGGAAGAGGAGGCGCATGCGAACTTTGCAACTGGGGCCTTCGGTGGAACTTCCGTGGGGCCACGAAGCGCTGTACTGGGCGGGGGGGACGCAAGCGGCCGCGGCCACTGGAGCCTTCGATTGAGCTCCCTATGGAGCCACGTAGTACAACAACTTTGCCACTGGGACACTCGGTGGAGCTCCCTATGGGGCCACGAAACATGTGAAAGGTGTGCGGACATGGCAGACTTTTCCCACCAGCCCTCTGGGCGTAGGTGGTTTAGGGAGTTCCCTCTTCCACCCCTTTTTCTCCCCCTTTCGGGGAAGGGCTTACCCCTCCCCCCTACCCCCTCCCCTGGACGGGACCGGTCGCGAGCGGTCAGGGCGTCCAAGACGGCCTCGGCGAGGAAGACATAATCATTGGTTGTACTAAGCTTTGGGCCCCATTTTGGCCTCTTGGGGGGCGACGCTGAAAAAAAAATCCCCTCTTCTTTGATCGATCTCCTCTATCAAGCCTCATCCTTCTCGTCCTCCCTCCTTCGTACGGTTCGGCCGTCCCTTCCTTGCTCCCGCACTTCCCCGATCACCTCAACTCGCCTGGACATCGTCTCTGGATGGGCTGGTGGGGATACGTTTTGGATCGCGAGCGCACCAGAGGCCGCGGGGTGCCGTCCAAGGTCACATCAAGCAAGCTGCGAGCTAATTGCACCTAGGGAAAAGGAGGCGACGAGAGGACGCGGGGGGAGGGGCAAAGCGAAGGCGGGCCTCGCTGCCGCTCAGAAGAAGGCGCCGTCGACCGGGAAGAACTTCGCCAGGCGGGCTGCATCGCCAAAATGGCGGGGAATTCGGGTTGACGGACACCTCGAGCGTACAGATGATGTGGACCACCGGCAGAACTCGCCACGAAGACCAGCGTAAGGGCGAACGGTCTCGCCGACGCAAGTGGGCTGGTGGGGATACTTTTTTGGTCGGCGGCTCCAATGCAACGGTCAAGGAGCGGAAGCGGCGTCCGGGATGCGGCACGGTGCGAACTTGCGAACACAGCCGCCAATGTCGGCAAGCCCGTTCGCAGCTGGTGGGGATACACGAAGCGTCTAGAATCCAGAGAGCAAAAATAAGGAGGGGGAGGAGGGGGGATAGGGAGGAAAAGGGAGTGAGGAACGCGGGGCGCTCTCTTCAGAGCGAAGACCCAACCCCACAGGATGGGTTGGAACGGGACAAGAACACTGAGTCTTGTTTATCCGGTCCCCATCCCCAGCGGCGTGGCCTGGCCCCACTGGCCGATTTACCCCCCTAGAAGGGGATATAGGCCGTTCCTTTCGGGTTTCGAGGGGCGTAATTATCCCCAACTCGGGGGGTAATTTGGTGGGGTTTCGAAGGAGACGGGGATGGGGATGGGGATCGGATAAACGGTTCTGAAACACGCCACAGCGCGTCTCGAACGCGGCACCCGGGGCCCAACTCCAAGCGAAAACGACCAGTGTGCGAGAATCGCCTCGCCCGGGTCTCGAAGCCCAAAATCACTCGGGCGCGGCCTGCACGTCCCCACCTTGCCCTCCAGGCCCCCCTCTTGCCGCACAGGTGCATCTTGGGGTGAGGCGAGGGGGACGTCACAGGGCTGAACCTAAACGGCGTTTTTCGTTTTCGTTTTGTTTTCGTTTTCCCTCGTTTTGTCTTCGATGCCCATTTAACGCAAAACGAAATCGAAACGAAAACGGCCCACGTAATCGCCCAAACACCGTTTAGGTCCAGCCCTGGGACGTCATGGACAAAAGATGGTTTGCGAAAGGTCGGTTAGGCAGCCCCTGAACCATCCGTTACCGAAAGCGTTCGGTTACGCTCCGGGCGAACGGATCGCGACCGAAGTTCGGTCTCTGGCCGCGACTTCTGGTAACGAGCGAGCCGCATACGGCCTCGAAACCCTTGCTTGCATCCCGCCCGGCCCGCGATCTCTCCGCTTCCGAAATTCGACCCCCTCTGGTCGCGACCGAGATTCGGTGCGCCCGACATCTGTTGCCGAAAATCCATGGTCGCGGATGACCTGGGGGCGCTCCGCAGAAAAAAACTGTACACGACCTCACATTGATCTGCACCTGCGGAGGAAAGAAGGACGGACGAGGAGGAGGAGGAGGAGGAGGAGAAGGAGGAGGAGGGGGCTCTCCCCTCCCGGCGAAGCCTGGCCCCCAGCCGCCTAGCCCCCTCCGAGGAGCGGCTGGCGGGCCTTGGTGCCCGGGTCGCCCGCGGTCCACTCGATGCTCACGTCCTCCGCGCCGATCAGCCCGAGCTCGATCTCGCTGTCCTCCTGCGGGTGGAGGAGGAGGAGGAGGAGGAGGAGGAGGAGGAGGAGGAGGAGGAGGAGGAGGAGGAGGAGGAGGAGGAGGAGGAGGAGGAGGAGGAGGAGGAGGAGGAAGAGGAGGAGGAGGAGGAGGGGCAATGCCGCCAAGGTGGGGAGAGCACCGGGAGTGCCGCCACGGCGTCCTCGAGGAAGCGCCGCTCGTCCCTCGAGGGCGGTGGGCCCCGAAGGGCGCCCCAGAGCCTCAACGACGACCCCCCCTTGACGTCGAGAAAAAAAACCTCCTCGAGCCTGGATCCTGGCGCCTCGACTTCCAGGAGAGGGCTGGTGACCCCTCTGATGGTGAGGGCTGGTGACCCCCCTGGTGGTGAGCCCCCTCGGGAGGCGAGGGGCAGCACGAGCGGTCCGTGGGCGCGGCAGCAGCACATGGCTCGGACCCCACCGCGAGCAAATCGAGACGTGAAGCGGCCGCCAGGTTTCGCACCCAGGGGGGGCCCCTTCCGGCCCTCGGGGCCATCGAAGAACGGCTCGGGCCGAATAAAGCTGGTCCCGAGGGATGATGGGTCCAGACCTCTGGGGGTCCACGTCATGAACAAAGATCGCGACTTCGGGCGCCTGGGGTTTGATTTGACCCTCGAGCGGAGGAGGACGTGGCGGAGGGGTAGCGGGGTGAAGTCAGGATGCTCGTTCTGGGGACTTTCCTGAAGCCAGTCGATCCACTCATGCGTCGATGCTGCGTCGAGTGTCCGTCGACATGAATCAAACTTGAATTGACCTTGAGCCGAGCTAGAGTCGCCATAGAGTCGAACAGATCCGCGAAGTGGGCCACAGAAATGAAGGGGCCCACACACACACACACACACACACACACACATACACACACAAATAAATACACACAAATAAAAGGATTCCCCATCTTTTC